TCCGCGTACCCCGGGTTAGAGCAGCCGGTGCCGCGCCGGGGGTCGCGGGGGTGCGAGTGGAGCTGGTTCCGCGCTGGCCCGTCAGGCTGAGCCTCTCGCTGTCTGTTGCAGAGACCTTAGTGAAGCAGCTGTCTTCCTATGAAATCGTCACACCTGTCCGAGTGAATGAATTTGGAGAAGTTTTCCCTCACACGCATCACTTCAGCAGGTGAAAAAGGAGCTTGGCGAGGACAAAAACTTCCGAACGCATTACCGGCTTAGCGCCTACGGGCAGGTCTTCCGGCTCAACCTGAGCGCCGATGCCGGCTTCGTCGCTGCTCAGTACGCTGTGGTGCACGTCGGGGCCCCGCAGAAGCAGACCTCCCCTGATCTGCGCCACTGCTTCTACCGTGGGCATGTCAATGCGCAGGAGACGCACATGGCCGTCTTCAGCATCTGCGGTGGCTTGGTAAGCGTGTTAGTTACTGCCTTCTGTCTCCATTCATATTCCTCTGTAGCGGGATGCCTTTGCCGGAGAGCTGAGCTGCAGATTCTCGGGCGTCGTTCCAAGTAGTTGGTCATGAAATGCCTTGACATTGGAAGTTTGCAGTCATGATGATACTTTTTTGGTGGGATATACAAACGCTGCTTTCAAAGGATGTATTGCTGGCATGTGATGGGGTTGGTTGATGTAACTTTTGACACCAAGAGCACTGTAATGGAGGAAAAAACATGCCTCTGAAGCACAGTAAGCTATTGTTTTGATAAAGGGATGCTGCTGGTTGCCATCCGCTATGTGTTAGTAGCTTTATAGATGCTGTGTGGTTATGAGTGAGGAATAATGGTGCTTGAGATGAGGGAAGAACTAGTGTTGGTATTTTTCTTCCTCTGCTTTTAGCAATGCTGTGGAGGCATGCCATATTCTAATAGATGTACAGCACTGCTCTCTAATCACTTGTCCTTTAAAAGTGAATGGGAAGCTTCCTACTGACTTCAGTGAGAGTGTATCTATAAAAACATTCTTAAGAACTCAGTGGAGCAAACCAGTCAAAACTCTATTGATACACATTCTTTATTTATCACTTGATAGCATTCCTTCTGTCTTCTGAAGTGATAGTGGAGAAATAGTATCACACAACTGTCTATCAAAACAGTTGTACTGTGTTGCTATGTTTTGTAGTTTTGTCTCTAGAAACAAGAAGAGTGTTACCTGGTGCTTTACCACATCACTGCTTGTTGAAATGCTGAGGACAAGTTGTGTGACATGCACGCTGTAAAAATATGGTGTTGTAAATATTACTGTGAATTTAAATAGAAGTTATTCTGTGGGTTTTTTTGCAGACACTGAGGAAAGTAAAGGTGTAAGGCTTATTTTGGGGAACTGAAAAAAATGCAACTTAATATTCTAGTCTCTTTCTAGTAGCCTATAGAAAATAGAATGGAGTTGGCTGGATGCGTGCAGGAGGGTGTGGCACATATTAAAGTAAAGAGATCCACATAGTGGAGAAGATCAGAAATAATTGGTACTTGAGACAGACACCTCTGTCTTGTGCTTATACTTGGATATTTGGATATATGCCACCTTGTCGTTGGGTCTGTAGACTTGGGCTAGTCCTTGGAAATGGCTGGGGAAGCAAGCAATCAAAACCAGTCATTCTGTATTCATCAACATTTTGTTTACGTATCTTGCTTTGCAAACAGCTGTCATTGGTTCTTGTCTGCGTTATCCAAAACCCAATTCAAACCTACACCAAATGCCCCAGTGTGTTGCACTAACTTGTGGAGAGTAGGAGCAAGGAGGAGTCAACAGTGGTGTGGTTGGTTTTCTTGTAATGTTTCATGTTCTAGTAGATGCTCATATACTATGACATTGAGAGTTTTGTCGTGCTCTATATGGAATAAATATAAGAAGCTTTAAAACATTCTGTTTTCATAACTCTTGTTGCCTGTTTTGATTCTGTCCCTGCAAACCATGCCTGCCTTTTCACTATCTGGAGGGACCACGTGTGCTGAAAAGAATTTTTGCAGAAAGTGTGTACCTACTGCACTTAAGTTGTCTCACCTACCTATTATTTAGCAGTTCTCAAACTCTTCAGCACAAGAACCTCTTCTTCTCTAGTAATTTGGATATCTTATTTTCTCAGAAAAATCTACATCCCTCAGTGCCTTTCAACAGCCTTTGCCTCCTCTAGATGAGCCTTATGAACTTTCACTGCAGCTTCCAGCTGGAGTTCACATCCTTGCTCATTGCCTGGCTGATAGAGTTCTTAGTCTGAGCCACCAGCAAAGGCCTTGCTGTCCCACTGCTCTTGGGACCTTCTCTCTCTCTTCATTTCGTCTTCTGCTCAGGCAGGCCCAGCCTTGTGGAGGGTGTGTAGCATACCCGGTGCTGAGGCCGCTTTCCCCTCACTAATGAAGCTGGTGAGGTGTTCAGGAGAGGAAGCAGAGCCCTGCATGGGTGCTGGTGCACTTTTTGTGGGGCATGCTTACACGTGGGCTGAAGAGGCAGTCACAGCCAGCTCATTGCCTCTATCTGTGCAGAGTATCCTCCAACCCGACTCAGACTTCAGCTTACTGTTCTTCCCGATCCTCATGGATTCCAAGTAAACATTATGCTCTTCATGTGACTGCCAGGGGAGACAACTTTAATGGACGTTCTCCTCTCCACTCCAAAAAAGGAGGGAGGTAGTGGCCAGGTGGATTTTTCCTGTGAGATTTTGTCCTCCCTGAATGCCCTCCACCACTCCCAGGTGGGGCTACCCTTACAAGTCAGTATATTTTTTTTTTTTTTCTCAAGGTTTCTAAAATTTCATAGCTTTGTGTGTTCAATAAATGTACGTGCAAAAAATACGCTATTTAGTTGTTGCCCTTGATTGAGCAGGAACATGCTTTGTGAATATGTGTGAGGATTTATGTGGAGCTGCTGCCAAGTTAAGATACTATTTGTTGTGAGACAATTGAAACAAGACTAGTGACTCAGTAGCCCTGTATTATACTTAAAGTAAATTTGCTTTTCTTTTAGATTCATTTCCCTCAATGCTGAACTTGACCTTGGTGTATGAAAATTAAAGTAGAACAGATTGCTTTAAACTATGTGGTATAATTTTATCTTCCAGCTTTGCATATATAAGGCAATTGCTGTAGGCCAATGCTGTAAAAGCTGGAGAGGAAAAAATGACTTGGACTTAGATAAAAGGTGCAGGAAACTTAAAAGTGGAATTTTAAAAATTACTGAGGATGTGCCTGAGTGATCTGAAGTTAAACCAGGTACTTGGGTTCACTTTATCCTGTAGGCATCTATCTCCAAGCTCTGCACTGCCTTCCTTCACAGCTTCAGTCCTGCTTCCCGAGTCCCCCCTTCTGTGTTTTGCATTCCCAAGCTGAGTGTGTGCACCCTCTCAAGCTCTGCTTTCCCTTTTCACCCTCAGTTAAGCCTTTTTCTGAGTGTGCCAAGAGCATGTACAACCCGGAGTACCCATAAAGCATTGCTTAATGGCTCCTGACACCCTGTGTGTAGTTTTGTTGTGTTACATTTCAGGGCATGCCCCGGGTTCAGGGATGCAAATGGCAAAAGGAGGTTAGAAGGTCAGCAGGGAGTCTATAGTAATTGCAAGGAGGGAGTGTGTAATTAGGGAAGTTTGGGATGCCATCAAAGGAAGAAGGTCATCTGGAGTGGTGGCCTGGGTTGAACATCTGATCTCATACAGGCATATTTCTTGCATCTTTAGAGTAATTTTTGAAATGTTGTGCTTTATTTCACTTTGTTTTCCTAAGTTCTGTATCTTTTTACTTTTACTGTGTTAGTCAGTTATAGCTCCCTACAAACATGGGAAACAAAATCTGCTGAGGGTGTCCCTGGGTGTATGTAGACTAAAGAGGCCTGTCAAATGTTATCTAGACAGCAAAATCAAGGAGGTAAATATATATATATTTGTGTGTGTGTGTGTATATATATATATATATATAATCATTTAGCATTTAAGAACATACAGCTTACAAGATTTATTGGCAAATATCACTAAATAAAGTATCTTAATGAGGAAACTATTAGAATTTATAACTAGAATGAGTCTTCAATTCCTGTCAGGCCTCTATCTGAAGAAAATACAGCTACTTTTAGTTTTTTAAACCTGAATGAATGCTATAAAAACCATTTGTTTAGTCCTTTGAGAAGCCTGGTATTCTTTCTTGGAGGTCAGGAATGTGTCGACTGATGGTGAGGATAGCTAAAATCAGGTTTTGTGAGCCTAATGCTCAAGTGCTGGAGGTGTTTTATGTGGCTTTACTGGGGGAGAGCAGGAAAGGTAGTGAAGGAGGAAATGTACAGCCTCTGGTGCACAGAGCAAATTTGGCCAGCCAGTCAGCATGTGAGGTTAAGAGTAAGAAAGTACACAGAAATCTCTTCTTGCGTGGGTTTGCTAGCAGTTGGCTTTCTGCAGTCCAGGAAGGCAGGACTGCTTTGTTCTAATGCAGCTTCTGCAGTGCTACAAGATCTAGATGACAAATTTCTTAGGAGCTCAAGGAAGGTCCTTGGTAAATACTGCACATCAAGCTTAGTTTTGTCTGGAGAATGGCAGGATTATGAACCTCAGTGTGGATCTTCAGAATTTCCACAGTACAAGAGGTTGTAGTTGCTTTTTTTTTTTAAATAATACAGGTCAGCAGATCACCTCTCTGAGATTTTGAAAACAATTGTCTGCTACTATGGATGAGTGCAGCGGTTCCTTTTAAGAAAAAGTAGGCAGTTCTGGAATTTACCTTAATGAAATGTAAATTCTAATTTTTTGTTACAAAAAATCCCAACCACCTTGCTAGAAGCTATTAGCCAGCATTGAGTTTCTTGTGGAGGTAACAGGCTCCATGTATTTGCTCTGCAGTTTGGTGCTGTATAGTACTGATAATTCGCTGAGTTCAACTATGCTGGTTTTCCACAGAAGGCTTTAACACTTGTAAGTGAAAGATATGCTTACCTTGACATAAGTTAATGCTTTAACTTACAGGCTGTCACTTCAAAAAAAAAAAAATTGCCTTCTAATCTGAAAGGCAGGTTAGTTTTCAGCATTCAGATCACATTTATAAACCTAAGAACATCCATAAGCCACTTACTAGTTTTTATAGATCTGTATCGTAATGTAGAGATTCCATCATAAGCTAGGAAAAAAAATCATAATAAAATATCGACTCAATGCAATCAATTTGTGTTTGGACAAACTAAGGCTTGCTGCTGACTGGCTGATGTGGTAACTTCCACTTCAGTAGTTCTGGTTTCACTCATCATATAATTCTGTAAGGTGAGACTCCAGCCCTGAATGTCTGCAATACAACAGTCAAATTTCAGTGCTTCCTTTGTCACCCTGTGCTTTTGTTCTACCTCTCACCAGCACAAAATGATTTCAAGTACAAGGATTGACTTGGCAAGTAAAGGATAAAATGTTCTTTCTTTTTGGCTGTTGGTTTTATAGCTAAACA